GTGTTTGGTTGCGTGTGGTAAATGGGGGGGTGGGGGGGGGGGGGGGGTGGGGGGGGGGGGTGGGTGTGGGTGTGGGTGTGGGTGTGAGTGGGTGTGGGTGTGCGTGTAGGTGTGGGTGGGTGTAAATAAAGAGAAGACAATACTTACACCCACACCCACACCCACACCCCGACATTATACTCCAAAATCTAGTAGCTTGATGTATTTTGTCTTTTGCGCCTGTCCTTCGTCTAAAACATATACCATTAATGAGAAATATCAGTAAGAATAGGCATTATTCTTCCGGAAATCTTTCGATTCACGAGAAAACAATTGTATGAAGTAATCTCAAATGTGAGAATTGGAAAATTTCTCTCATAGATTTTCGAAGAAGTTTACTTTTCATGCAATTTGAACAAAGTCTCTTCGATCTGGTTATTATCCTAACTGTAAAAAAAACATTTAACATGAAATTATGGTTAAGGAATAGTAGATTTCTACGGCTAAATCGTTTTCTTTGTGGTTTGTGAACATTATTGACTTACTCGATATGTATATATCGTGGTGCTCTACTATAAATTAAACAAGAACTTCTATATAAAAAAAGTTGGACATGATTTGAGACATTGTTTATTGGAAAATAAACATCAAAAGAATTTCGTTGTATGAAGTCTCAATGTACTTGTCTAGACGAAGTAGGATTGATCTGATTTTATTTTGGTGCTGAATTGGCAAATAAAGAGGCCGAGAGTTCTTTTGGATAACGTTCGCCGGCCACGTCAGCTTTCTCACAGACTTTTCGAATGACGTTGATTTCTTCATCAGTCAATTGAATATGTGTCGCATCGATGTTCTCCTCCAAATTTTTTATTTTAGTTGTTCCCGGAATAGGAATGAAGTCATTGCCTTGAGCAAGAATCCAAGCTAGTATCAGTTGAGTAACGGTGCAACCTTTCTTTTTGGCTATTGACATCAATCCATCGACTAAATGAAGATTTTTAGGAAAATTTTCTTTTGAAAAGCGTGGTAATCGCTTTCGAAAATCGTTGTCTTCGAGATCATCAGGACTTTTGATTTGTCCACCGATCATTCCACGGCCCAGCGGTGAATAACACACGATCGCCACGCCGAGCTCGCGACAAGTTTTCAGAAGACCAATATCTTCATGTTCTATGTCCAGACTGAATGGTGAATACTCAATTTGTACAGCTGCAATCGGATGAACAGCATACGCTCGTCGCAGCGTATCACTTGAGCATTCGGATAAACCGATGTATTTGATTTTTCCGGCTTGGACAAGTTCTTTCAGCACACCCATTGTCTCTTCGATGGGTACCGTTCTATCAATTCGATGTGCATAGTACAAATCAATTAAGTCAAGGCCTAAACGCTTTAAACTTTTTGTGCTTGCCTCCCGAACATATTCAGCATCGCCTCGAACGGAAAACCTTCCATCAGGATGTATCATATTGGCGAACTTTGTTGCCAAGAATACCTATCGACAAATCAAGTTCAGGTCATTTAAAAATAAGTCAAATAATTCTACTCGGTAGATTTCATTTTTAAGGAAAGCGCACCGATAATCGCTCATCATTATCAACCTTTACACTGGAACCTTATTCGAAATAAAATATTTTATTGTTATAAACTGCGTGATTTTGTCATAACTTTTGAAGATAGAGGCATAAAAATTCTGTCAGTTTTTAAAAGAGTACCGGTGAGTTACATGCAATTGATAAAAGTATTGCATAACTTAAAATTTTTCAAACGTTTAAAAAGCACATCAAGAATGCATTTCTCGCCAGAAATGACTCGATCTTCTGTGCTTAAAGAATAAGTTTTTGTATTCCATTTCGATTACAAATGTTTGAAAGCAAAGTTTTAATGCATGCAACCAATCTTCTCAAAAACGATAGCTTCTTGGGGTCATTTTAGGATAGAACCAAATTATTATTTTTCGTTTCAAGCTCGATACAACTTTTGTCCAATACTTATTTTTTTCTATTTGATTACAAGATTCAGAAAATCTCCAACTGGTGCAACAGAATGAGTCATGACTAATGGTAGAATATGCAACAAATTTCATGTTTTGGTCTCAATTTAGCAATTATTCGAAATCAGGAAATGATATTCTCAGAGAATCGTTCCTCAATCAAATTAACAAATCAAATGAAACTATTGCTCATATGATCTCTAAGAATTGGCATGTTTTCATTAGGTTGAACTTCTTCAAATTACTTGCTCAGAGTCTTATTTTCTTCATAATTAAAATAGAATCTCTTTTTAAAGTATTAATATTTCTCTCAATATTTTATATACCGACCTTTTCGCGTTGATGAGGATATTTTTTGAAATATCTACCAAGCAGCTCTTCGCTATCACCATAGACATCGGCAGTATCAATGAAAGTACAGCCAAGTTCAATCGCTCGATCAAAAACTTGAAAACTTTCCTCATCTGAAACAGTTCTACCGTAGAACGCTGAAAGGCCCATCGCACCGAAACCAATGGCTGATACTTGAGGTCCATTTTTGCCTAACTGTCGAATCGGCATTGACATCATTTTTTTTATCAAATTTAATTGATGAGAAATTCGATTCTAAAGTCACAATAAATAGTTGCCGCAGAATATCGAGCGTGCGTCCGTTATCGAAGAGAGTAAACTGTACTTTAATGTAATCGCACTTATATTTACCTTCATTTTATGACAAGGCGTAAAAAAACTAGTCATTCTGCAAATAGTATAAAGAAAAAAGAGGAAGAAGAGAAATAAAAAAAAAAGGCGAGCTTGAGAAATGTTTTTGTCATACTGTAGTCAAAAAAATCGAAGAGGTTAGTTGCGACTCTGACTATTACATCTTTTTCTTCTGAGGATATAAAAGATGATTTACCGATAGTTGATTCATCATCGTTGAATTAAACAGGACACAAAATCAATATCAAGTTGCTTGTTTTACTCCGAAACAATGCATATAAACATGTGATATTTCATGATGTTGATACTTCGCTAGTACTCTTACGTTCATGGCTAAGAGAATCATCTTTACAGAGACAAACAAGCGTTTCATTAATTATATTTTATTTGTTTATATAGTCTTCATTACTGTTTGTCTCATTCTATTCAGTTGAGTGCCTTATCTGTTGCAGACGTTGGCTAATATGATACGCCAATTTTTCTGGTCTTGTGCTGCGTGAATGAAGTCTATTTGTTCGTAACCTTGTTTTTCAATCCAAAGGTTCATGTTTTCGAGGTACTTGATTCTTTGTCGGCCTTTGTCCTTCTTTCCATTGATTTTTCCACTTAATATCAGATGTTCCAAGCAACCTTTCCGGATTATATGACCAAGAAATTTCAGTTGCCTATAACGGATGGTATTCATCAAACATCTTTTCCATTTCATTCTTCTTAGTATTGATTCGTTGTTTTCTCTAGCTGTCCAAGGAACACTCAGCATTCTTCTTAGGAACCACATTTCAGTGGCTTCTAAGCGTTTTTCCATTTCTTTGTTGATTGTCCAACATTCAGATCCATATAACAGAATCGACCATACGTAACATTTAAGAACTCGTGTTTTGGTTTTGATCGATAAAGATCTATTTTTCAGAATTGGACTCATCTTTTGGAATGCTTGTTTAGCGAGAGCAATTCTTTTTTTGATGTCTTCATCACATCGTCCATCTGATGTTATGATGGATCCTAGGTAGTTAAATCGAGCAACTTGTTTGATTGTTTCGCCATTGATATTAATGTTGCATGACGGTGGGATTTTATTTTTTGAAATACTCATGCATTCTGATTTCTTGACATTGAGTGACAGTCCCATCTTTATGCTTTCTTTTGAGACTATATCAATCATTTTTTGTAGGTCTTCTTCAGTACTAGCTATTAATACAGTATCATCTGCATATCTGAGGTTGTTACAATTATAGCCTCCAATTTTTTTACTCCTTCTACATCTTCTATATTTCTGAGTATCATGTCGCTATAGATGTTGAAGAGGTCTGGAGATAGAACACAACCTTGTCTGACACCTCTCTTGATATTTGTGTATTGACTGATGCCATTGTTTACTTTCATGGCGGCTTTCTGATCCCAATATAGATTTCGTATTAATCGTAGATCTTTGCCATCAATATCTAGCTTTTCTAGAATTTTGAATAGATTGTCATGTTTGACTTTGTCAAACGCTTTTGTGTAATCGAGAAAACAGAGGTATATGTCATGTTTGACTTCTATGGATCTTTCGATTATCATTCTAAGAATGAAAATGGCATTTCTGGTGCCTTTATCAGGTGTGAATCCATATTGTTCTTTTGCTATTTCTGGCCTGATTTTGCTTTTCATGCGCATCATCAGAATTTTGAGTAGAATTTTTGTTACGTGACTCACGAGACTAATTGTGCGATGAAGTTCATATTCAGTAGCTTCAGATTTTTTTGGAAGAGCTATGAATATTGATTTTGTTAGATCTTCTGGAATTTCACCTGTGTCATATATTCTGTTTATTAGTTTTGTCATGACATCGACGCCTAATTCATCGAGACATTGGATCGTTTCAATGGATATTCCATCAGGACCTGTTGCTTTGTTTAATTTCATTGATTTTATAGTCTGTCTCACTTCATCTTTCATTGTTGGAGGTCCTTCTATACTTTTCTTTATGTTGGGCTTAGAAGCTTTATTGTCGTCGAACAGTTCTTCTATGTATTCTGGCCACCTGTTCAATATATCCTGTTTATCCATGAGGATGGTTCTATTTTTTGATTTTATACAGCCTGAACTGGTGCATCTTGGTTTTCCGGTGATTTCATTGATTTTTTGATGAGCGTATTTGGTGTTCACACTCAGCTTGCATTCAATCTCTGAACACTGTTCGTTCAACCAATTCTCTTTTGCTTCTGAACATTTCTTTTTGATTTCTTTGTCTATCAACTTGTATTCAATTGGGTTTGATTTCTTGAGTCGTCTCTGTTCCANATTTTTTGATTTTATACAGCCTGAACTGGTGCATCTTGGTTTTCCGGTGATTTCATTGATTTTTTGATGAGCGTATTTGGTGTTCACACTCAGCTTGCATTCAATCTCTGAACACTGTTCGTTCAACCAATTCTCTTTTGCTTCTGAACATTTCTTTTTGATTTCTTTGTCTATCAACTTGTATTCAATTGGGTTTGATTTCTTGAGTCGTCTCTGTTCCATTAATTGTAGAATGTCATTATTCATCCATCCCTTCTTTTTGTGCATTTGCACTTTTGGGATTACTTCTTCCACAGACAATAATATTGAGGATTTCATCTGCTCCCACAAAACGTCAGCAGTTGTGGTTTCGCTCAATGCTTCAAATCGGTTCTGTACTTTGATACAGAATTTTTCTTTCATGTCTGTAATAGTGTTGAGAAGATGAATTTGAAGCTTAGGATTTTGTTTAGGTTGTTTTAATCTTTTTAATTTTACTCGAATTTCACTGATAACTGGGACATGGTCACTTCCACAATCTGCTCCAGGGAATGCTTTAGAGGAGATGACCGAATTCCTGAATCGATGAGGAGCCATTATGTAGTCTATTTGATTTCTAGTTCGGTCTCCTGGGCTTCGCCATGTCCATAGCCTACGTGGGTGATTTTTGAACCATGTGTTGGTAATGACGAGGTTATGTGATTGGCACCAAGTCACTAGGTTGTCTCCTCTATCATTTTTGTTTCCTAGACCAAAAGGACCTACTGTATTGCCAATTCTTTGGTCTCCCACTTTAGCATTGAAGTCACCCATTACGTAGATGATGTCTTTTGAGTTGCATTGTTTATAGGCTTTCTCTAAATCTTCGTATAAATCTGATATTGCATCTTCGTCATAGTCAATTGTTGTTGCATAACCTTGAATGATTGAGATGTTAAAAGGTTTGTCGTGGAGCTTTATAAGAATAACTCTGTCTGACACCGCCCAAAAGCCTCCCATACTTTTGGAGGTTTCTTTGTCAAGAAGTATACCTACTCCTCTCTCATGTTGATCTCCTCCGGAGTAGAATAAAGTGAAGTTGTCTGTTGTAAAAGATCCAGCTCCCATCCATCTGACTTCAGATAGTCCTAACACATTGACTTGTAACCTTTGCATTTCTTTCTTTATGTTTTCTAATTTTCCTTTTTGAAACATAGTTCTTACATTCCAAGTTCCTATTTTAAATGAGTTTTTGGTACGGATAGTAGCCTGTTGACGATCGAGGGTCACCTGTCTTACATGACCATCTCTACCGAGCGAGGTGTTCTCTCTGTGAACCCCATTCACGCNGCACATAACACTTGAGGCTATCATACCTTATGCCCAACTCAAAATCGAGTTTTTGATCAAAAAAGAGGGGGGGGGGTACCCTTAAACAATCTAAGATCTTAATGAAGCAGTGCGAGTTATGATAGACATTAATTGAACAATAATTATTTGAAACAACATATAAAATTTATGGCTACAATATAGTCGATAGGAGTTTTTTGTTGTGTTCCACATCTGATTCACAGTCATATTGACAAAATTCTCAAATCCCATTAAACAAACCATTTGTATGTCTAGTGATATTATTAATCTATATTGAAAAACACCTTAGTTTATTTCAGTCATTAGCTAGGATAAGACGAAAGAAAAAAAAGTATCATGTAGAATAATCTTGATCAACTACGGAAACATCACGCAATATTGTCTCGAATTGAGTAAAACTAACAATTTTGATAAACGAATACGAATTGATAACAAGTTGAATACATCTATTTCTCAGCAGTGTTCAGACTTCCGAAAATGGAAATTTCGGAGATGTCAAGTATATGTATTCTGAAATGTGCGTTACTACCTAAAATGATGTAATTTCCGAAATTATGTACTTACAGAAATTTCCAATATGTCTAAAAACTTTTTGATTTGCACTGTTATATAGTTATCGAACTGACGAAAATTTCGGTAATTTCCTTTTTTGGAAATTTGAACATATCTGAAATTTTTTGAGAAAAATTTACATTTAAATATCTCTTATTTCATTCAAGCGATTGAATTACTTTTTCATAGTAAAATTCTTTTAAGTGACAATAAATATTCACAAATAATTTTCATTAGGTGAAATACATAAAACTATTCTTTTCGAAAACTTAAATAAAATATTGTAGAAATTTTATTTTCGAATTATTTTATTTTCTGAACAAATTGTACCTGTTGATTTTCACAATCTATTGTAGCAATTTCACAAAAGAATTAAAAATACAATCCTAAACTTAGTGTAGTCTTCGTTTCATGACTACATGTGAATTCATAGAAAATAGTATAATATTATTTTTAAAAATCAATTAAACGTTCGAACTGCTTAACAGTTATTCAATAAAACTTTTGTATTTGAAAACAACTGTCAACAATGTTCGAAACAAAGTAAAAATAAATAAAACTATAGAATACAATTACTTATTTCTTCTTAACCATACGTTTTAAATTCAAATTTATTTGTTCAACAATCAAAAAACTCGTGCATTTTTCTATTGTTTCTAAGTTATGTTTTTCTCATATAATAAGAATTGTTTTATATACATTTGGTTTTATTACATAAGTAAATTAGTTTCAATAATTGAAATAAGAATATTAGTTTAATCTGGTTAACCATTTCGACACAGACAAACATAAACAATGAAATGTGTATATACGAATAGAATATCGGATTAATCTTAACCATGAATATCCAAAGAAATATAGTTATGCCTCCTGCTGTTGCCTGTTTAATTGAGAAATGATGTTGAGTTACGTGTGAAGTATCATAACAACCTCAAGGCTAAATTTCTTTTTTCGATAAGCTATTCAATTCTTTGCCGACACGAACTTTATTTTAACAATATATCTATTTTTCTTTTTTTTTATTCTTGTTTGATCCTTCTATAAATTCATTTTTATCTTTTCTTTTTTTTTTTTTTTTGTTTTTTGTTAAATTATCATAACTAATCGTCTTCAAAAAACATTTTCTGCTTATCGTTCACGCTCATCATTAAATATCTTTTCTTTTTTGTTTACGATGAATGAATATCAAACGTAAAGAATTTATTCTATTGAAAAAAAAATAAGACACAATAATCAAGAGAAGAAAAATAAAACTTAAATCTTTCAAGACAGTACAAAAGCATCAGAATGATGCTGATTCATTTGGACTTGCATATGACAAAGCCATCGGATGATGATGTTGCTGTTGTTGATAACTTGTTGTATAATAAGATGATGAATATGGATCATATAATGGATAGGAATTCGGTGTTGTTGGTGTCATACAAAAATTTGGCATTGTTGTTGATGATTCTAATGGACTAATTGAATGATTTTCTGATGAATTATTTGGAGTTTGATAAATACTATGATATGATGGTGGTGGTGAACACATATAATATGATGTTGGAGGATAAAATGATGACATCGATTGAGTATCATATGTTTGAGTATGCATTTGTAATTGTCGCATTTGTTGACGATAACGACGACGACGAAAACGACCTTGTTCAAATTCTCTTTCAGCTAATTCATGAATACGCCAATCTAAAAGTAGAAAAAAAAAAAGATTTTATTTAATTATTTGGTAAATAATATATTCATACAATGTCCTTTGCCATTTGTTCCACGTCCTGCTTTAACAAAACAATCATTTAATGATAAATTATGTCGTACACTATTTTTCCATGATTTATTAACATCTTCAGCAAAATATCGATATCTATTTTAAAAAATAAAGATTTTTTTTTGTATTAAGAAAAAAAAGACTTAAATAAATAATTTACTTTCGTTGAAAATAATTATAAATTTCATATAATTGCATCATACGATCTGGTGCTTTTAAAATAGCTTCTGCAATTATTTCAAGATATGATTGATTTGGTTTTTTTGGTGTATCATTTTCATCTATTATACAAAAAATACTTTTTTTTAAATTAAACAAAAAAATAAATAATAATTTGTCTTACCAGAATAATTTTCTTTTTGTTTTGAATCATCTTCTATTGAACCAGTTTCATCGGAAAGACCTTCATCAACAATACCTGAATCATGAAATTGATGTTTATTCATAGGAAGCTGATATTCAGAATGTTGTTGATAATAGACTAAATATATATATTCGGAAGAATTTGCTTATTTAAATATATAACATAAAAGATATTTAACAATAAACGAAAAAAAAAGCTGCGATTGTTGTCTAACAAATTACGTCAATTGAAAATTCACTTACGGTTATGCGGATTCATATATTTCTTTTTCTTTAACTTCTCAATGTACACACATACACACGTACATGCACAGACTAAAGCAAAGATCAAAATGAGCAATATATGTTTTGCTTGTCGATATTTGAATACAAATAAACCAATTAGCAGTGCTCATAAAAGAAGAAAAAGAAGCGGGAGAGAGAAAAAAAAATGAGCATTCGTCATTTAACAAATTATTAGTACCAATCAGAATGAAAGAAAAATAAAAAAAAATTTTTTTTTTTTCTTCGTTTACTAGTCAAATTAGAATTTCGTTCTAGAGATTAATTAATGAAAATGAGATAAGCTTGTTTTTATTTATGAGCTCCTTTGCTAATAGAAAAAAAAAATTTAATCGAAATATATTCAATTCAATAATAATAATAAGAATGATTTTTATAATTGTCGAAAAAAGTCTTTTATTTATATTCCAATTGAAGAATGTGTCATAGTTAACAATTCGAGAATAACACCTAAGGTTGTAAACTCGGGAAAATTTATCATTATTTACTAAACAATTGCCAATTGAGTAATAACAATTGTTTTTTTTTTCAAACAGACTTGAAAAATATTCTTATGTTGTTAATAGAATTGTAAGAACAACAAAATTTTCTTTTTCTAGTGATCGACTTATAACACTCATCTTTTATTTTTGCTTTTTAAATATAGACTTACATTTATTGATTGATATTCGTATTTGAAATATCTTATAAAATAGAAGAAAAAGAAGCTCAGTTCAAAAGATAAAGATTGAAAATGATAAAATGGTACAAATCGACATTTTTCTAAAGCTATAAAAGATGAAGAATTCATTTCAAAGTTGATCTCCTCCTGTTCGACACCATTAAATAAACAATAAGAAAAGTGTGCAATAGATAACAATTAATAATTCATTTGAAAATGTTCAATTGCTATGAGTTAGTCTATAAAAATTTTCAATTCTTATTATGAATATTACAGAACATATTCATATATTCCGAACTAATGTAACTGAACGATTGAGTAGTTTAGCGGGAGATACTGATGGAATGTAAAACAATATCTTATTTCAACCAGAAAAACAAAAGACAATCAAATAGATATGAATTTGTCTGACGAAGAGATTTTTACTTCAAAACTATATAAAGAATATTGAATATAAATATTTCATAGATAATGTTAAGTAATATTAGTACAATATCTATTTCTTCTATTACAGTGAAAATTTGTTTGTTGAAAAAATGAATTCATCATGTTCGTAGAGAACAGCTAAGCCTTTGAACAATATTATCGAGAACAATTATTGCGAAAATAGTTTTAATTTCATGAACAGAATAAAATAGATTTGCATATCTTATATACCGATTGCCAATTCGAGATGAGACTAGTAAAAGTCTAAGAGGATTCGCTCTCATGAACCCTTAGCGACGATTTATGGCCTGTTTACTGGATTTTCAACTCATTTGTAGATGCTTCCTGGAAACCCTAATAATTGAGTTTTGATGCAGAGCTTTTGTCCATAGTACATATATCGACTCTTAGAACATACATACTGGAAGTTTCAGTTGAAAAGAATGTTCTTTTGTCAAAATATTGAATTTCCAAAAGTAATCTTTTGCCACAAATATGTTATAAAAATCGAATTTACTTAAAAACTGAATAATTCGACGAACAAATATTCTTTTCAACTGAAACTTTTAGGATATTTTAAGAGTCACTATCGTATCTAGGGGTGGAAATTTTGCATAAAAATTCTGTTGTTTGATATTATGGGAAGTGCCTAATGTGAGTCGAAAATCCAGTAAACCGGCCATAATTCGGCATCAAAGGCATATGAGGACGAACTTTTTTTAGACTTTTAATAGTCTTACTGACACCTGTCTATGGGACTAATTGTGAGTTCAAATGGTGGGTGTCAATCGTAGGAATAGTTTCCTCGTCAGTGGTGGCTCGAAGTAACCAACGTTGAATGTTAGGTGTCGCGACTTTTTGCAAAAGTAAGAATATCTTTCTTCTAACAGAATGTAAACAGAGACTATCAGTTCTGCTTAGAACAAATAAAAATTTTTCATGATTGGGGAGTGTTACACTCTGGACAACTCTTCTCTTGATCAGGTCACCACTGTAAATACTAAACAATATGTACTTAGAACAAAGGAATCTAAATAAATTTTTATTCCATCATGAATAAATTTTTTCAACACACAATCAAATTTTTTTAGAATGCTTTAATAGCTCTCTTAGAATTGTATCAAATCAAATAATTGTTATGAAAAAAGCAGAAATCAAAATTATTTAGTCCAATTGGTGAATAAATGGTTTTATTCATTGATATATTTTATTTAATTGTTTAAGAAAATATGATCTTAAATACAGTAAATTTTTTCTTATCATTTTATTTACTTTCAAAATCAAGTTTAAATAATTCAAACCAAAATCGTTTTGGATAAAACACACCAAATTTTGTCATACATCGTTCCATACTTAGTAATCGTTTAAATATATAATGATATCTTGTTTGTTGTGATTTTCTTTGAAAAAAAAGCGAGAATAAAGACATAGTGTTTCAATGACTTACTGTAACTCATTCAGTATTAATTCAATTGAAATAGATTCTAAACATAATATTTATTCTTATTGATATTCTGTTAAATAAATAATTACCTTTTTTTTACAGCTATTAAAGAATCACAATCAGAGTTGGTAATAGTTAACCTTTAACGAATGAATAAAAATACACATAATATATGAGTATGTGATTAATAAAAAATGCACTGACATAGTTACTTCATGCATGTTTCTTCATAAGTGTTGAATTAAATTTTATATTGCTCCTTTGCTCAATGTTTGCTTATCTTAAAAGTCTACTATTTAAACTACTTCAGTAAACAATAATTACCAAGACATCGTGTGTTTTACTCGTACTGATTTTCTTTTTATTTCATCAAGGTCTCTGGAAAAAAATAAACTTTGCAATTAGATACTGATGATAAATGACATATAACTATCATCATTGAGAAATTGAACTGCAAACAAAATAAAGAATTCTCGGCAAAAGAATATTTCTTGATGGAAAATTAGTCAATAAATATGAAAAATTCTATTCCATATCATCAAATATCTGTTCAATGTGAATGTATTCCGAATAAGTTAGGTTTATAAGTTCATTTCGAATTCTCTATTCTCTAATTTAGATGAAATTCCTCAAATAGTTGACCATCAAGCAATTCTTTAAGTAATACCCCTCAAAAATCGATCTTGGACCAAGTATATTCAAGTCGCATGAAGTTTTCACAAAATGTTGAAATTATAGTGAAGATGCTGCGATAAAATTTTCAGTGGTATATCACAACGTTTTGGAAAGATCTTCAAGAGAAAAGGCTCACAAAGAACTCATTTCACAATCAAAAACTCTTTGTGGAGTCTCATTCAATGGAATTAATTTTTCTGCTTGAAATAACATGCTAAGATATAGGATATGACGGGGGGGGGGGCTATTTTTTTTAAATTCTTACTTTTTTAAAGGGAGAAAAGGGATGAAAAGTGCAATATCTTGAAAAATTCTCAGAAAATGGCATTTTAATTATAAAAGCACTCTTTTTTTTATATAATATTAACAAAGCTTAATGAAAAAAAGGACTCTGTCACGTCTTGCATCTTGACATGCTCTTTCAAACAAACAAAAGATTAAATCTATAGAGTGAAGGCCCACAGAGAGTTCTGGGTTGTGCAATCCAAAAAGCATTAAGAGAGGAAAAACAAAGAGGATTTTTCGTTTTTTTTTTTCTAAAAAAAGCACATATTTCTCAAACAGAAAATGACGGAAATCATCTAAAGTTTTTTTGGAAGAAACAAGGTCTCAAATGAACACGTCAATGTTGTTCGTGAAAGATAAGACCTCGAGCTATCCTCCCATGAGTCTATCTTAATTTTTATTTTTTTGAGGAAAATTGAAGTTGTTAAGACGTATCTTAAAGAAAGTCAGTTATCACTATTTGATTGTCAGGTCTTTCTCGAATAACAAATAAGATAAAAAAAAAAACAACAGCGTTTAGCAATGTTTTTCAATGAAAACTTGGCGGTTGTTTCTATTCTTAATTTAGTTCTTAATCAATATTATTATAAGATCCATATATTAGACTTACGTGACATTCAAGATATTTATAATCAGCTAATGAGTAAGAACTAAAACTGACTAGTTGCTTAGACGATATAAGAGGTTTCTTGAAATCATTTATATGAATGTTAGAATAGTTGTTGGTAAAAGAAAAAGTTAGGCTTGTATTCAGAAAAAAAAGGTACATCGATCAATGGTATTGGTTTTATTAAATTTTATCAATGTTCAATATTGTGATATTTTAAGTGCTTTTCTAAGAGCTCCGAGATATTCAGTATTCTGTCATGATTAAAATAAGTAATATTGATTTTTCTACGTTAATTTTTGATAAAACTAATATTCAGTTCAGTTCAGTTAAGTGCCTTATCTGTTGCAGACGTTGGCTAACATGATACGCCAATTTCTCCGGTCTTGTGCTGCGTGAAGGAAGTCTATCTTCTCATATCCTTGTTTTTCAATCCAGATGTTCATGTTTTCGAGGTGCTTGATTCTTGGTTGGCCTTTGTCTTTCTTCCCATTGATTTTTCCACTTAGTACCAGGTGTTCCAAGCAACCTTTACGGATTATATGACCAAGGAATTTCAGTTACCTATATCGGATGGTACTCAGCAAACATCTTTTCCATTTCATTCTTCTTAATATTGACTCATTGCTTTCTCTATCCGTCCAAGAAACATTCAGCATTCTTCTTAGGAACCACATTTCAGTAGCCTCCAAGCGTTTTTCCATTTCTTTCGTGATTGTCCAACATTCAGATCCATATAAGAGAACCGACCACACGTAACATTTGAGGACTCTCGTTTTAGTGTTGATCGATATAGTTCTCTTTTTCAGAATTGGACTCATCTTTTGGAATGCGTGTTTAGAGAGAGCAATTCTCTTTTTGATGTCTTCATCATATCGTCCATCTGATGTTATGGTGGATCCCAAATAATTGAAGCGAACAACTTGTTTGATTGACTCTCCATTTATGTTTACGTTGCATGACGGTGGGGTTTTATTCTTTGAAATACTCATGCATTCCGATTTCTTGACATTGAGTGATAGTCCCATATTTATGCTTTCTCTTGAGACTATATCAATCATTTTTTGTAGGTCTTCTTCTGTGCTAGCTATTAATACAGTGTCGTCTGCATATCTTAGGTTATTACAATTATAGCCTCCAATTTTCATTCCTTCAACATTTTCTAAGTTTCTGAGTATCATTTCGCTGTAGATGTTGAAGAGATCTGGAGATAGAACACAACCTTGTCTGGCACCTCTCTTGATATTTATGTATTCACTGGTGTCATTGTTTACTTTCACGGCGGCTTTTTGATCCCAATAAAGATTTCGTATTAATCGTAGATCTTTGCCATCAATATCGAGTTTTTCTAGAATTTGGAATAGATAGTCATGTTTGACTTTGTCAAACGCTTTTGTGTAGTCGAGGAAGCAGAGATATATGTCATGCTTGACTTCTATGGACCTTTCGATTATCATTCGAAGAATGAAGATTGCATTTCTGGTGCCTTTATCAGTCATGAATCCATATTGGTCTCTTGCTATTTCTGGTCTGATCCTGTTTTTCATGCGCATCATCAAAATCTTGAGTAGAATCTTTGTCACATGACTCATAAGACTGATTGTGAGATGAAGTTCACATTCAGTAGCTCCAGACTTTTTTGGAAGGGCTATGAATATTGATTTGGTTAGATCTTCCGGGACTTCGCCTGTGCCATATATTTTGCTTATTAGTTTTGTCATGACATCAACACCTAGTTCATCGAGACTTTGAATCATTTCGACGGATATTTTATCAGGACCTGTTGCTTTGTTTGTTTTCATTGATTTTATAGCTTGTCTCACTTCGTCTTTCATTATTGAAGGTCATTCTATATTTTTCTTTATGTTAGGTTTAAAAGCCCTATTATCATCAAAAAGTTCTTCTATGTATTCTGACCACCTGTTCAGTATGTCACGTTTTTCCATAAGGATGGTTCCATTTTTTGATTTGATACAGCCTGAACTGGTGCATCTTGATTTTCCTGTGATTTCATCGATTTTTTTATAAGCGTACTTGGTGTTCACATTCAACTTGTTTTCAATCTCTGAACACTGCTCGCTCAGCCATTTCTCCTTTGCTTCTGAGCATTTCTTTTTGATTTCTTTGTCTATCAACTTGTATTCGAGTGGGTTTGACTTCTTGAGTCGCCTTTGTTCCATTAATTGTAGAATGTCGTCAGTCATCCATCTCTTCTTCCTGTTCATTTGGACTTTTGGAAGTACTTCTTCAGCAGATACTAGTATTGAGGATTTCATCTGCTCCCACAGTACTTCAGTCTTTGTGATTTCGTCCAATGCTTCAAATCGGTTCTGTACCTTGATGCAGAATTTTTCTTTCATGTCTGGATCTGTTTTGAGGAGGTGAACTTGAAGCTTTGGATTTTTCTTTGACTGTTTTAATCTTTTTAATTTTACTCGAATTTCACTGATAACAGGGACATGGTCACTACCACAGTCTGCTTCAGGAAATGCTTTAGAGGAGATGACCGAATTCCTGAAACGATGAGGGACCATAATGTAGTCTATTTGATTTCTAGTTCGGTCTCCAGGGCTTCGCCATGTCCATAGTCTACGTGGGTGATTCTGGAACCATGTGTTTGTGATGACGAAGTTATGTGATTGGCACCAGGTTACCAGATTATCTCCTCTATCATTTTTGTTTCCTAGACCAAAAGGTCCTACCGTATTGCCAATTCTTTCATCTCCCACTTTTGCATTGAAGTCACCCATTACGTAGATGATATCATCTGAGTTGCATTGCTTGTAGGCTTTGTCTAAATCTTCGTAGAAATCCGTAATCGCATCTTCCTCATAGTCAGCTGTCGGTGCATAACCTTGGATGATTGAGATGTTAAAAGGTTTGCCGTGGAGCTTTACAAGAAGAACTTTGTCCGAAACCGCCCAAAAGCCTTTTACACTCTTGGAGGTTTCTTTGTCAAGAAGTATGCCTACTCCTCTCTCATGTTGATTTCCTCCGGAGTAGAATAAAGTACAGTTATCTGTTATGAAAGATCCAGCTCCTGTCCATCTTACTTCAGATAGGCCTAGTATATTGATCTGTAACCTTTGCATTTCTTTCTTTACATTTTCCAACTTTCCTTTTTGAAACATAGTTCGTACATTCCAGGTTCCTATTTTGAGGGAGTTCTTGGTACGGACAGTAGCCTGTTGACGATCGAAGGTCACCTGCCGTACGTGACCATCCCTACCGAGCGAGGTGTTCTCACTGAGAGCCCCATTCACGCTGTTATCTGGACTGGAAATCTTGACGTTAATCATATTGTGCTTGGGAGTATACAGCGGCGGTTTCCCCTTGCCTT